CACACAAACTTTCCTGAAAATGAGCAGATTTCAAAATGTTATTGTTCCTGACAAAACCATTAACTTTGAAAATCTGCTTCGCCCTGTATCTCCAAAACGGGTAAGTTCTTTAGAGATGATGAAAGAACGAAGCAATCTTTGGACCGTCTGAAGAACCACTATTTGAATTTTTGTCCAGTGACTTGGAAACATCCTGTATTCTGATAGGTCGTCATGCGCAGCTTTCAACTTGAAATTTACGCTTGGTGGGTTTCCCGTGCTGACCATCTGGTCCATGAAAAGTCACTTTCTTAATGGACTGAGACATGTTACGATAGACCTACCTAAAAAAGCAGGTTTGGTTAAGAGACCTATTTTCTGCCCATTGTGACTTGCATTACTTGCAATTCTTTGTAATCTTTATTTTTTACCGAAGCAGATGCGCGGGCAGAAGCCTAAATACTGGAGCATCACGGCTGATATAATTGTATTGAACTACCTAAAGTTAATAGAACTGGGAAAAGCGATCTAGGGACAAAGAAGCAGACCTACTAGCCAGTTCTAAGTGTACAAAGTTCAATACGGCTAAGATTGGTTGTTGAAGTAAGGCAGATCTATCTGGCAGATTCATATCTGCCTGGAGGGCCTTAGACCTTCGTCGTGATCTAAGTATAGAAAAAGAAGCTAAAAATACATTTTTTATGGGAATGCTCTCATACTACAATGTAAATTTACACCAAATTGGTTGGTTGAGTTCTAGCTCAAATAACTTTTAAGCTTAAATTCTAATGTCGAAGAAACTTGTGACTTTTAAATTTATATCATAGATGGATATGATAAGAACCTATTTCTGGATATGGATTAACACATTTTCATTTTTCTTTCGAAGCAAAAGTTAAATAGTAAGTGCATTTTTCCCAAAATAGGCTATTCATATTTTTCTGCCCAATCTTAATTTAACATTTGCATTTTAATAATCTCTGTACATATGTACCATATTTTGACTCAGGGCTAAGCAGTATCTCTCGTTATTGCTAAGCTTAATAAGTAATTTATTTTTTAACACATTAAACAATTAAATTTTGAGCATATGAAAGATAAAAGCCTGAAGGAAAGAACGCGTTGCAGATTTCCTGGAAACATTTTTTGTATGAAAAATGTAACAATGAACAAAACAAACTAATCACACGAGAATTGAATTTTCTTCACAAAATATGTTACATTTTCATTTTTTAGTTCCCACCACAATTCAAAAATAAGATATTAAGTTTTTGAATTTGAAACAATGCTACAGCTATGCCAATGACGAAAAAGTTTTGTAATTTTTAGGATGCACTACAGAGGCAACGGAGTCACGGGTCAAAAAACGAATAAATAAAAAACGCTCAAAGACCACTTGTTTTACAGGATCCTGATAATTTTCAGAAAAAAATTTAAAGGGGTTGAGAATTTGGGGTTGAGAATTTGGGGTTGAGGTTTAGGGAGGGTGTAAATATTTCATGTTTGGTATCGGCACCTATCACACAAATTAGAATGCTGATAAGTTCCAACCACTCAAATTCAATACTATATTGACGGAAATCATTTATAAGCAAATTTGATCGCTTGGTCTTTTCAATCCTATTCGTTTTTGAAAACTTTACCATCCTGCATCTTAAAAGTTAAGACGATCAAGGCATACGTTCACATGAAGTTTTTTTCTGGTTACCCTCTTAAATATTGCCACTCATTTAGAAAACACCCTGCATAGAGGTTCTGATGAGCATTAAAAAAGCTTTCGTGGACTAGATGCTCTATTTTTATAATATAACTAGAGTTACCTTAGCTAAGTGCAACACTTTCTCAAACTGCCTAACCACCGAATCAGACACCATCACAGCACAATTTTCAAACCAGTACACAGAACAATATGTCGTCCGGTGCTCTTTTAGACTAAGTACCGAGAAAATATTATCGGTACCATTAGCCGTTCAATTCGGATGATCTATTTTATAACACGTTTTTTCACTTCGCCGGTACGATTTAGGCGTACCACTCTCTATACAAACAACGGTTGTAGTGAATTTATTAGTAAAATTTGAATGAGGTTAACGGTACCGGTTCTACGAATTCTAGAGGTACCTTAGTGGTTCGGCCGGTGGACGTCTCGACGTCGCGGAAGATAGTAAAAAGAACATTAGACCGTCCTGTCATTAGTGTCGACTGAAAATTTCCTGTAAACTTTCATACGCAGATATATAGATGACGAATTTCCAAATTATACTGCTTGCCAAAAGTTGGTAGAACGATGGAAACTACTATCATTTCATGTGTGATTAGTCAAGGGACTGGCGTAGCAAGAAAAATCTAATAATCGTCCATACTGCTGTTCTTTTCGGCTGGTCGGGGTCCAGATCATCGAGGAATTGGTCCAGCGTGAACTCATCTCGTCAATCAAGGCAGCTGTTGGGAATAATCTAGGCTATTTGTTTAGGACTAAGCAGTACGTTTCTCCACACTCTGTATAAGGCCTAGATGAGACATTATTCATGCTCGATGAAGTCTCAGAACCCTTTCACAACGGCTTTCATCTATCGTTATGTCAACGGATTTTGCTCACAACCGTTCTCATCCATGATACCGCCGAGTGTTGAGCCTGCCAAACGGATCCGCCAGGGTTCTGCCTTCCATTTTAACTCAATCAAACTTCGTACATGGATAACTGATTCGCAAGTCTGAGAGTTGTTTGAGGAACGATCCCTCTTTGAATTTTAACACTGAACATATCAACACTTAATACATACCTCTCTATTTGGCCGTCTGTGATAGATACGAACAAGTATTACTCAAAATAAGCAAAATGCGAATAAATAACATAGTCTTTTGACCAATTATGATATCTTTAGTGTTATGCAAACGGTAACTTCGTCTTGAGAAACGTCCAAGGAAGGATTTCACATTATTGTAATCACAGATTTGCAAAACTTGGAAAATTTGCAAAATTTACAAGATTTTAAGTTTTTTCAAGATTTGCACGATTTATATTTCTCCAAAATTTGACAAAAGTTGACAAAGCTATGAATATTTTCAAAATCCTCAACATATCCAAGCTCTTTGGAGTACAAGAGATTGTCAACTTTTCAAAATACAAAAAAATCAGAAACTCCAGACACTTAAGCTATCTTATTTTTTTCATCAGGGTGCACTACAAAGGTCTGACGATTGCGAGTAAATACAATATCATTGAAAAACTACTTACACCGTTGACTTATTTCGCGAGAAGCAATAAAGAAAATGGAGAAAATATCATCAATTATTATACAACAATAATAACGCACAGATCACAATAAGAAACACTTCATTAGTGGAAAACTTTTAAATTATGCTACATCAATCAATATTTGGAGATAATTTTTTTTGGTCGAGCTACCTGTCGAAGTCAATAGACATTTTCTAAATTTTGACATGAACAAAAAACAAACCTTCTTTCTGGCTCGAATTAAACCTGCCTATTTTACCAGGACAAAATGGTACAAATGTACCAATTTTAATCATCTTTGTCATGTGGTGGACTTTTTCTTCATTTACATGTGAAGTAAAAATCCAATAACCACTGTTCATTTACAATATAATCTAATAACTGAGAATATCTATTGATTTTAACCTATTTTTGAACAGCAGTATGCATAGATATCATAAGCAAAGTCATCCCATCATTACTGTAGAGGACACCTAATATCTTGAGTAGATTGAACTTGGCATTGTTCAAATGACATTGCAGATAACATATGAGTAATGTCACCCAGCTATTTTCAAACTTCTGTGACGTATACTAAAGCAAGCCCAGCTTTGATGATTCATGACCTAGTTTCCAATAGAGCGCAGAATAGGCACTTGCTATTTAGTATTTAATATTGTTATTATGTAGATGATATGGTAACTACTCATGAGTAGTTCCGTAAATACCATATGTGTAATGTAAGGAGCTTCTTTTCTAAACGAAGCAGAAGTGTTAGTAACTATGTGATTCATTGTTTGGAATTTATTAATGTAGACGATACGATATCCGTGCATACTTTTGGGCAGTGGTGTGAATACCATATGTGTAACATGACGAAATTGTTTTAAATTTCGGTCAGCGATGTGAGCGATATTTGTAGTAAGATCGTGACTTAAGCGAGCCCGGAACTGTTGCAATATGTAATTTATTGACGGTAAATTGAAGGTTTGAAGGTGATTTTGGAACAGAAGCTCGTTCATAGGTTATATTCAATATTATATAAATACTGTTTGGTATTTGAAATATCTTTAGTGTGAGAATTCCTGGGATAGTAAATGTTTTGTAGTAGTGTATTTTTTTAACTCTTCCGCGATGACTCTAGCTTCCTCTTGGAGGTATACCATATATTCCAGACAATGTAATAATAATACTAAAACCTCTTTATTAATTAAAGTACAGTGTAGCTAAATAGCTACCCTACCAAAACCGTATTATTTTTCCACGGTAAACCAATATAACTAAATGTGTATAACATAGTTACACGGTAGCTACCCAAAATAAAAAGTATTGATTTTTGAGGATGTCGGTTTTGCTGGCGGTTACTAATCTAAATTATAAACTACTAGGGGAGCGCAGGGTAATGGGAGCCTACTAAGGGAAAACTTTCATAAAAACCACATTTATTAACTTTTTTATAATTTTTAATTAGGAACTCTTAGAATAATCATACAGGTACGTTTTAATCACTGTTAGGACTTATTGCAGTCATATATTAAGGTACAATACCGATTCTACAAAAAAAGTCAATCGCTTCCATTACCCGACACGTGCGGGTAATGAGAGCCCATTTCACGCTCATATGGGAAATGGGAGTCATACTATTTAGTATTGCGCAAAAGCTAAACTAAATATACTTTCAGTGACTGTGATCTTAGTTAGCTACTACGATCTATTCATTGTAACACAAATAAAAAAATACTTTTTAAACAAAAACAAGAAAAATAAAGATAAAATTGTTAAAGAAAAACATATGACCCAGATTTTACGGATCCAAACAAAATGTAGAAATATAAGAAGCTGGACTATCACTTCCAGAGCATTCTTCATGAGCCCAGTTTCCACAACTTCTGAATCGGTACCACATCTCTCCACTTTTTCCCGTGTCTAAGCAAATTGCACATAAAGTTTCATCTTCTGAGTATTCTGACTCGTCGTCGCAAATTGTACATTCGTCAATTTGATCATCAGATGAATCTTCATCATCACTATTAAACAATTTTTTTTTTGCCTTTTTGGCCCCTTTCTTTCTGGTTGTGGTCTTCTTGCTTTTAACCTTTCTACCTTTGGTAAGTTTCCGTTTGTTACATTTACCTTCGGTGCAATTTTCTTTATTACAGTCTTTTTATTTTTTTTAGTATTTTTCTCTTTTTCAGTCCTTTTCCTCTTCTTTTCGTCAAATATTGCCTTCATTGGAGTGCTTGTTATAATTTCAGAATGTTTTTTGTTCTTCAATCTCGTTTCTTTATTAGTTATGAGTTGTTGCGGCAGTGGGCTCACAATTTTTAGAATATCAACAAAGTCAGTTACTGTTTCATCGTCATTAGTATCGGTCTCATTAAAATATGATTTTGACGGAGTTGCGGTAGATCTGACGATATGTTCCTCCCGAATAGCAGCTCGTGTTGGTGTTGCACATAATATGGTTGGAATTGGATCTGGGCTTACAGCAGCTTCCTCCTGAACTACTTCTGGTTGAAATTCTGCGTCACAAAGAATAGATGGACTCATAGCAGGGCTAGCAGTCGATGGTTTATTAACTGTCTGCTTTGACGTAGATGGAATAGGAGATATGTTAGTTGGCTGCTGTCCTGCGTCATGCACGAGCACAGATAATACGTATGTAAAATGGTGTGAAAATATATTTTAAAAGCTGGTAGGGTAGTGGGAGCTATGTCGGGTAGTGAGAGCCATTCTAGGCTCCCATTTCCCGCTGACCACCATTTTGAAAAGTAATAATATAAATAATGTAATTCTAATTCCTATCGTAATTAAACAAATTTCACTAGTTAGTGAATGAATCTACGGTTGATATGAATATAAACAAAATAAAATAATAATCAAGCTTCATGCTTACCTTGTCGCTGGCAATCCACAATTTTTTATAAGGACGCAGCGAAAAACAAACAACCGTCCCTCGTGACTGAACTCATTGCACTAATGGCTCGTACCGGTCAGACGAAGTTTCTCGAATGTTGGCGGAAGCAGCCGAATGTTTACCAATCACGTAAGTTGCCTACATTTCGTTCAATCACCATAGCTCCCATTTCCCGACCGCTCTCATAACCCCGCGCTCCCCTACCTATTACTACTACGACTCTTTTCTGATAATAGAAGCTTCTTGACCCAAAACTTAAATTTAGTCTGAGATACATATTTAAATGTATCAGGCAGAACATTGTACAATTTGACATAATTGTAACTAAAACAACTCCAATCTGCCAAACCTGAGCATGCGCTCTATCTAAAAATAATTTTTTTGAAGAGGTATTTGGTACCGGTGACAATTAGACTATCAATGAATTTCAACATGAAATATTTATACCTGTAAAAGCAACTAATTTGACAATTTTAAACTACGAATACATTGCGATACATATATCTTCTTAAGCCGTAGATAAGTTGACAGCATGTATGTTGAATCAGTTGGAGTCTACGACCTAAAACTTGATCTAAATACGGACTGTTTCTGTTCCTGTTCCTTTATTGGGGACATGTTCGTGATTGTTTTTTGTTTTTCATCATAAATCCTGGTCAGCGCTGTTGTTGGAATGCTATGGAGGTTGAGCATCGGACCAACGTAAAAAAACAATCCTTATCATCTGACATTAACAGTATCCAGAAAGAGATATCGAATCATATTGGGTGATGCCTTTGGCGGCAAATCTAGAAGTTCCAAATTAGTTATCTTCCAGTTCACGAGTTTCAAATGCGTTTCCTTCCAAAGCATGAGCAAAAAACGAGGATAAATTGCACCTTTCTTTAAAAACATATAAAAATAATCTGTTTCAGGTACTAAAATTGCACTTTCTGCTAGGGAGAAAATTCCCCATTATTCATCTTTGCCAAATGATCTAACCAGTACATAATTGTAGGACATTGTCTGGCAAAATCAAACCTCATATATGTTATTGTACAATAGAGAGAAAATAGAGCGTATATGTTGTTAAATTCAGACAAACAATGGCGTCCTATGAACAACAAACCACATAATAAGTTTCAGGAGATACATTAATATATGATTGCTTTAAATATATAAAATAAGTGACATATAAAGAAAGTATTTTTCTATGTCAAACATTCTTAAGAATTTTCCTACTTTCCTCAGAGGGTTCGTAACGGTCTAAACTTTTTAAGAACAACAATGGAATTGGGACGTTATGATAGTTGTCATCGTCACTATCTCTACTATACTTAATTGGTTGATGTTAGGTGCGTTTTTTAGAAGCTGTAACAATTGCCGTTAATTGTCTTCAACAGGTGCGTCTTTCATGGCATTTGTTTAACACGGTTACAGTAATCTAGTAATGATCATTTTAGTAACCTAGGTGATGGACGAATAGTAGGAAATTCTGCGAGGCATGCCTCACGCCATGATAATTCCACAGAACAAATATTATCTACGTATAAGGCAAACCTCTTTTGCCTGGGTCGGTGGACTATACAGTTGAGCAAGTTCGCTAGTCAATGAACTGCAACTCGCGCCATGAAAGTTGTACAATCTTAGGACCATCCAAATTTAAGATTCGTAATCATCCTAAGCCTCTAAATAAGGTGGCTGGACCACGGAAGGGTACGGTCATTGTAATGCCAATTATTTGAGTCATAGTTACTACAATGCGTTGAGAAATTCCTTCTATTTACACTGATATTCAGCGAACTCAATAACGCAGACGTGGCCGCTAGTCGTTTGCATCGTTATTTTGTCAATGCGATCCCCTGCTTTGTTGACATCGGTCGTCGATGTTGAAGTTATAATCCTAGCTAACAGCAAAACGTAAGTTTTCAAGTAAATAAACTACTGTTTTGTTTAGTTTTTCTAATAATTGTAGATTTATAACGCAATCTGGAGCGATTTGCATTACATAAAAACTATCTTGGTCAGTTTAAATTGTTTCTTAGTCAAAATTATAAAGGTTATCGGCAAGTTATTTGATATCGATATAAGTATCGTTAAAACTACTTTGAAAAAATATTTTCACTAATATATGCATAGCTTTACGATAGCGTTCATTCAGTACTTTTTATGAGAATATATCACTACAAGTATTCAATATTTGATTTTATTGTAAGATGTGTTTATGTAGCTTAAGCAGTATAAGCACATATTTAGATCGTAACGTTAGTTTGTTTTAAGCTAAACGACTGATTTCTTATAAGGGCCTTGTACGGAGCCTTGTTCCTTCCATATGGAACATAATAATTTATTTGTTCCATGTATCCAGTAAATAAAGGAATAATTACTGTTTATTCGTTAGCCTGGCTTTCACTCACATTATATTTAGACCTCCACAGCTTTATTCAATAATGTCAAAGCACTCCTCCAGTTGGCGCAGTTCCTCCTTTTTGCTCTTATCCTTTCTTGCTTTCTCCCTAATTTCTCCTAAGCTCTGTCTACTATCTGAGCAGCCAGACCTGAGTCCACTTATATTGCTCACTTTACTTTTAATTTACTTCATCCAAAAGCAAACTAACTGATAATTCATGGCTTGGCTGTGATAGTATACCAACTGACATATAAATCCGAACACCCAGTTTAAATGGTTTTATTTTAATAAAAGTTGGTGAATGTATTTATCTTACTGTAAACAACAAGTGAAAAAATTGTCGTTTTTTTATCGTTTGTCGTTAGAATACTGTGCGAACTATATATATAAATGGTTTTATTTTAATAAAATTTTGTATAAGTACTTAATGAAGCATAATAAGTAAATGATAAAAATTTCAAAATGATTGCACTGCTTTAAAGCCCTTTGACCTTTAATAATGTGTGGATGCACCCTGATGTGCTACGCATTCTCCAACACGCCTAGGCATGCTTCTGATCAGGTGGTCAATGTCCTCCTGTGGTAACTCATTCCAGGCAACCACCAAGTCCTCTCGAAGTGCTTCTGGAGTCTGAGGAGGACGTTTCAAATTGAGCAATCTCCTACCCATCATATCACACACGTGCTCAATTGGGGATAAGTCGGGAGATCTTGGTGGCCATCGTAACAATGTGACATCATTATGTTGAAAGAAGTCTGTTGTGACTCTTGCAACATGTGGTCGGGCATTATCTTGTTGGAAAGTTGGATCTGCCAGGGTGTCAAGATAGGGTAAAAGATGGGGTTCTAGAACTTCGTGGATATAACGCTGCGCGTTCATGTTACCTCTGATGAAGATTCAAGGTGACCTGGAACCATAAGCTATAGCACCCCAAACCATACCTCCAACAGTGTGATGAACATGTCTTTCAACAAAAAACTGTGGATTCCTCCTTTCACCACGTCGCCTTCTAACCCCGGCACGACCATCGTGCATGCCTAAACAAAATCGAGACTCGTCACTAAAGACAATACTGTTCCATTCCTGATCCCAGAGTGACCGTTGTCTGCACCACTCAAGGCGATTACGTCGGTGTTCTCGAGTTAAAGAGAGGACCCAGTGTGGCCGGTATGAAAACAAGCCAAAACTTCTCATTCGTCGGTAAACACTTCGCATGCCAATAGGTCTTCCGTGTTCTGCAAACCATTCATTTGCAATGGACCTGTTAGTGGAGAAACGGTCCCTTAAGGTCAATAATCTTAGCCGGCGATCTTCACGGTCTGTTGTTCTACGGCGGCGTCCAGTGCCCCTTGCTCTTTCCGTACGGCCTTCTCGAAGCCATGCCTGACAACACCTAACCACAGTGTCTACACTTCTTTGCACTCTAACTGCAATTGCCCGAAAAGAAAGTCCAGCTTCCCGAAGTCCCACTATACGGCCCCTATCAAACTCACTAAGTTGACGAAATCGTACAGGTCTCCGTACTCTAGGCATCGTAACCGATCGTAAAGGAAGTCAAGAACCAAAATCCGCCAACGTTGATTCTTTACTGCGGCTGAAATATTCATTTTTAGAGCGTTAGTGAATTAGAAGAAAGCAGTATAAAAACCGGAATGTCCAACTGATAAGGCTGAAAATTTTTTCACTTGTTATTTACAGTAAGATAAATACATTCACCAACTTTTATTAAAATGAAACCATTTAAACTGGGTGTTCGGATTTATGTCACTTAGTATATATTGGAATGTGGATTTTGGTGACTACAAATTGCTGGAAATGCCTGGTGACTCTTTCACACATATCGAATCTTAAATGAGCGAAGTTTCGTAGGAATTTTGGAATAATGATAATGTGTCTGCGCGCCAAGCGTCCTACATTTACGTCCTTCCCACTTTCGAGCGTGTAAGATTGCAGTAGGCCAAGTGTTCGGTAATATATTTTAAATTTTATTCCTGTAATTTCTGGACTGTTTCTGCGCCAATCTTGATCAAATTTGGGAGTAATTCTGTGGAATCGTAGTAGAAAATGCTACTTCATTTTCAACTTAGCGTCTGTAAAGTTGTGAGCAAAAACAGAAAAAGCTGCAAATTCGATCAAGTAATCTTTGGGTCCAGCCAAAAAAGTTTTATGTGGTCATTAAAAACTTCGTGAAATCAGCGTTTTCATGTTTCTAATTATTTCAGGATATTGACATTTTTTTTTTTGTTAAAGTGATCCAATGCTTTAGACCTTAGACAACTTTTTTAGTTAAATACATCTTGTTCTTAATGTTGAGACTTTCCTT